TGGCAAAGCCTCAGAAGCGCGGGAACCCGCCCGGTGCCCCTGGTCTGCTGGAGACGGTCTCCAGCAGACCAGGGGCACCGGAACAGCTTACGAACGGGGCTTTCTCGCCCCGGAGCTCGCAGGTAGCAATCCGCTACCTCGACCTCCGGGGCGAGAGCCCTGTTCGTAAGTGCGGATCTGACATAAGTCGGATCCGCGTAAGTCGGGGACTGCCTGTATAAGGAGTCTAATTCAAGTCTAAGAATCCCTCTAAGCATGAGGATGCCTAAAAGTTAGCTGTTGCAACAATGAGTCTAAGGGGTGGGGAAGCCAAAGCCCAGGAGCTGGATAGGGCCCCTGGCTGGCCTGGATCTGGCCCCTGAAGGTTGGGACTCCTCCCTAGCGTTGGTCGTGCTGGGGCAATGCAGCTCCCTCTTTCCTTTTCTACCTCCTGGCCAAGGTATGAGCCAGGATATGTCTGGTCATGCTCAGTAATTTGCAGACCTGGCCTTTTCTCTTTACACCCTTTCCTTCCTTCCACCTTCCCCGTCCCCACAGCGACCCCAGGCTGGATATGTTCCCTCTCCTCAGGGCTGCCAGCCAGGAGAGGGCTGGAGCCTGGTGTATTCCCTGTAATACACCAGCCAAAGGACTCATTTTTGTTAATAAAAGGCAAAGGTTTAAAGCCCATTAAGTTCAATGCAACTGTCTTCCAGAAGCTGTAGTTTACTCTTTTGCACTTGTCATCAATAATATAGTCTTCAAACCAAAAAAAAAAAAAAAAAATGTCCCCACCATATTAAAAATCAAAACTTCAGTTGACTGCAACTTTCACCAGATCTCAAACAGCTATTTCAAGCTGACTACAATCTGTTAATTCAGTCCAATAGTGATCTGATCTAGTAGTTCTTGTAACTTTGCAGAATGAGTACAACATTTAGGTTAGCGGATGAGATGTGGAGATTCAGAGCCCTAATCCTAAAATGCAATAACAGACTACAAACAAGTAGGAATAGCCAACAGCTCTGGAGCAAATAAGAAAAGTTACCTGTTATGAACAGAGACTTGCAAAGGTTTGAAAAATCAGTCCACCCAGCTATGAAAGCTTTCACACTACAGTAGTAATACCAATGAAGTGTTATAAAGCAAGGCTGCCAGGTCCCCTTGTACAGAAGATATTAGGGAAGAGAGAACTGTCCTTTCACAAAGATTGCTTCATTCTGCCCTCTACAGTCAAACCAATCCCCCTGTCCTAAGAGAAAAACAGATTCCTAAGAAAATATAAATCCTAAAACCTAAGGGCTGTGTCTAGACTGGCAAGTTTTTCAGCAAAAGCAGCTGCTTTTGTGAAAAAACTTGTCAGCTGTCTACACTGGCCGCTTGAATTTCCGCATGAACACTGACTTCCTACTGTCTGAAATCAGTGCTTCTTGCGGAAATACCATGCTGCTCCCGTTCAGGCAAAAGTCTTTTTGTGCAAAGCTTTTGCACAAAAGGACCCGTGTAGACAGCTCAGATTTGTTTTGCGCAAAAAAGCCCCGATCGTGAAAATGACGATCGGGGCTTTTTTGCGCAAAAGCGTGTCTAGATGGGCACGGACGCTTTTCTGCAAAAAGTGCTTTTGCGGAAAAAGCATCCGTGCCAATCTAGACACACTGTTCCGAAAATGCTTTTAACGGAAAACTTTTCCGTTAAAAGCATTTGCGGAAAATCATGCCAGTCTAGATGTAGCTGAGGTGTTTTGTGGGTAGCAGAGGCAAAAGTAAGCAAATGCATGCTGGTGTGCAACTCTGTCAGGAGCAGGTTGAGCTGGGGCAAAAGCCAACAGGGAGCTATTTAAAGTAGTGATGTTAAATATCAGTTAATTGAATAGTTGATTAATCTCATGAACTCTTTATCAGTTACTCGACTGTTCTATACTCCCGAGGGGGTGGGACAAGCAGCCAGTGTGCTCTGGCCCCACTCCTGAGAAGCCTCCTCCTTAGGGTGCCAGGAGAGAGCTGGTCCATGAGGGCGGGGAGGGGGGGGAGGGGAACAGTTTAAAAACCAGTTCCCTGCATGGACCAGGTGCCTGTCACTCCACGCTGCTGCCTCTGTTACAGACTGTTACAGAGGCAGCAGTGCAGGGTGGCACCAGCCACTGTCTGGGGGGGCCAGGTCTGAGCTCCCAAACCAGGTGCAAACTGGAGCTGAGCCAGGCTGCCTGCTCACCAGGCTCCTAATACCCTTGCTGCAGCTCTGCATTTGAAGTGTAGGTCCTGGACTTGGTGTGAGCCAGGACTGAGCTGGGCTGCTGGCCAGCCTGCTAAAAAATTTACTGGTGGCAGGGAATGCATATAGTCTATAGCAAAGCTATAAGCTTTTGCTTATCGGTTAATCAGCTACCCTATTACAGCCCTAATTTAAAGAGTTGGCAAGAACCTGGGTTTCAACAGGACAGTACCTGAAATTTTAAGTTACCTAGCTGCCCACCTGGGGGGGAAGTAAGGGGGCAGCTAATTAAATGCCTGCCATCTTTTGGGAGATAAAAGGTAAGTGTGATTTTTTTCCCCCAGAGAAAGTCCTTAAGAAGCGCTCTGGGGGAGCTAGGAAGCTGCTCTCTCTTCCCAAACAAAAGTTGGGCCCATAAAGATAAGGACTTCACCCACCTCGCCCCTAGGATATCCTGGAAGCTACATCGCTACAACCACACACCAGGGCCGTGTCCAGACTCAGGGGTTTTTTCGGGAAAAGTAGCCTTTTCCCGAAAAAACTTCCCCTGCGTCCAGACTCAAGCCGCGTTCTTTCGAAATTATTTCGAAAGAACGCGGCTTTTCTTTCGATGGCGGTAAACCTCGTTTCACGAGGAAGAACGCCTTCTTTCGAAAGTTCCTCTTTCGAAAGAAGGCGTTCTTCAATGTAAATAGGGCTTCTTCGAAAGAGAGCATCCAGACTCGCTGGGTGCTCTCTTTCGAAAAAGCGGATTGCTCTTTCGAAAGATCCGCCTGCAGTCTAGACGCGACCTTTCGAAAGAGCCTCTTTCGAAAGAAGCCTGCAGTCTAGACATAGCCCAGGTCACCTTTCACCTCATGCCTGCGCACGAGAGACCAGGGAGCAGGCTGCTCCACAGGACCAAGGTGAAGCAGCAGCACCGACCGTCCTTAGCGCTGTGGGACCAAAGCGAGCCACGGGTCGTTTCCCTCCAGCGGGAGCCGCGGCGGGGGTGGCTGAGGGGGCAGGGAACACCCCCGC